GCCTGCAACGACGTGAGGACGGAATATGGAAGGGGCTATCTCATTGCCCTTCCGAGGCTTCCTAGGTATCCGTATACGTGTTTGCGGTTGGGATAAAGATGAAGAGCAAATGTCCATGGAGGACGAAAATCGTGATAATTCTGAACATACATCTACGTTTTTGAGATGGTCGGATAGAGTAGGAAGATCATGCATGATAAAAGTATTTGGAGATTGAGGATGGTATAGAATAGGGAATGGTTACTCGATGCTCGAGAGGCGGAAGGATGCCGCGAGATATAGGATCTGCTAAGTTAATGGAAGATTCTACGTATAAAAGAGAAATGGAAAGGTCACGTTGCTCGAGAGTGGCTTCTACACGCCGAATGCACGAGTTGGATTCTTGATTCCTTGACCATCCTTTCCGGAAGGCACCAATGACTCCTTCATTGTCGCTACGAATCAGAACATCAAGGTGAGAAAAATGCATCTCGTTGAGAAGCGTGACAATGAGCTCAACAGCTACCGCTTCGAGCCATCCAATATCTCGTCCAGGAGCCTTCCATGATGGAAAGGTCCTCCACGCGTCCCATGAGTCATTAATTAGCAAACCGATACCCCAGTCTGTTGAGGCATCAACCCAAATGTTGAGATCAGAGGTAGGGGGACGCGGAGCAAGAAATCGAATGATAGACGGCTTGGAAAGTTGAATTGACCACCATTTAAGGTCTGAAATAACGGAAGGAGGAGGAAATCTTGGAGCGAAGTCGCTGGTGAAGGTCGTGAGCCACCAAATGATATTGTTGAGATATGCTCTGCCACGCAAATAGACGAAGGTGATGTGTGATAGCGAGCCGTGCAGAGATTGTATGTCTTTTTTGAGGAATTGGCGTGATAAGGGGGAATCCTGCAAAACGAAGAGAACTTTAGCGAGATGCTTTTCGCGTTTGATTTTAGTGAGATAGACAGTCTTCGCGACAAGGTTCCATTCAAAACCAACATAAGAAAAAATATCTCCAAATGGAGAACCCTTTGTTGTATGCCATGGAATCCCGAGTGGGGCAATCATGGCTTTGATGTAATCAAGATCATAGTCATAACGATAGACAGTGCCATCAGAAGTTCCAGAAAATAGGCCGGCCTTGTTCGCATAACGAAAAGCATTGAAATCGTCAACCCATTTGATAACAGGCCCAACGCGGAGACTATGCCAGATGTCAACCGTCGCATCTGCGACCTCTCCTTGTAAACCTGAAGCAGAGGCGAGGCCAAATGGTACATTGTGATCAATATAAAACAAACCCTTGAATTCAACGATCAAGTAACGTTTGGAAGCAGGGCTGACTGGAACCGTGCG